TTGCTTTTCTTAATCTAGAAAAATGATTATTTTCAAAAAAGATTGTGTTGATACTTTTTCTAAAGCTGTAGCGTTTTCAACTTTTTATAAGCGCCTTGAAAAAAACAGCTGCGATCAGATTTTTCTGACTTCTTTGGTTTGTCTGGTTTCTTTCTATCTTTTTTTTAATTTAAAATCAATCGACTTGAAATTGAAAAAAACCGTAACAAATTTGAGAAAATCTGCCATAAATTTCTAGAGTTAGAATTGCAGTAGAATTTTAAAAATAACTGAAAGATAGAATTAAATTGGGCTTTAGAAAATAGATACGAACGAGCAATCGCAATCATTCTCTTTTTCTCTCTCTGTATTTACAGAATATTTCTTATATGGATACCAGGTCGACAGCTCAACTCAATGCTAAACTAGTTGAGTAAGCTATAATGATATTTTATATTAAATACCTCCGTCTAAATCGACTTTTTTACAGCAATATTGGACAGATTGAAAAAGGAATGGGACATCAATTCCTAATATTGTTGTCACTATTTCTCACAATCATTGGTTGTTCAATAGTATCTTCCATTTTCAGTTGGAAGTTAACTTTGATCATGTTGTGTTTGGTACCTGTAGTCATTGGTAGTTCATTCGTTTTCTCCAAGGTATGATGCATTGCTAAATCAACTACGCACATCTATATATATCATCGTAGTTTATTGCTAAAGAAATGATGAATGAGTTAAAGACATATGCTAAAGCAGGACAAATCGTTCAAGAAGTATTTAGTTCATTACGAACCGTTCTTTCTCTCAATGGAACCAACTTTGAACAAAATAGGTAAAAGAATATATTAAAATTTAGTTGACTTATATACTAATACAATACAGGATGTTATTTATTTGTTTTGATCATATTCAGATATGAAAAAGAACTGCTTCCGACGAGTCGAAGTAATATTTTTCAAGGAGCAGTGTTTGGGATTTATACTGGTTGGCTATCTTTGATAACCTATCTGGCTTATACAGTTGGTTTCATCTTTGGTTCTCTTCTTATGTCCAATACAGGTTATCATGGTTTGAATATTAGCGATATTCTTGTTGTAAGTAACTTGTATCATCGATCGATAAAGAAATGAACATATATCACTAATATCGATCCAGGTTGTTTGCATATTTGCACAATGTTTGCATTTCTTCAGTTTAATTGGCCCTTTCTTTCAAGCATTTTCAGCAGCTCAAGGTGCCGCAGCACCAGTATTCCGCCTTATTGATGAGGTAGAGTTTAGTGATTCGTATTTCCGTTTCATTCATACCATTTAGGGAAATGATCCAACTATCAATGAATCTGATGTATGGAAAGAAACTACTCAATCCATTTATAATATCAATGGTCATATTGAATTTGACAATGTTAATTTCTTTTATCCATCTCGGAAAGATGTACAAGTTCTAAATAATCTTTCTCTTATTGCTCGCGCTGGTCAGACAACTGCTATTGTAGGTGCAAGTGGATGTGGTAAGTATTTCCTAAAGAAGACAAATGTTAAAATGGTATTATTTGTATTCACTACTAATTCATAGGAAAAAGCACATATATATCACTTCTTCTTCGTTATTATGAACTTTCATCAGGTCGAATTACTATCGATGGTCGATCGATAACAGATTATAATATCCAACAACTTCGACAAAACATAGGAGTTGTTAGTCAAGAACCTGTACGTTTATTTGTCATTATTTTTTTTCTAAGTAATTCACCATTATAATAGATTTTGTTTGGTATGAGTATTTATGATAATATTCGTTTTGGCAAAGTGAACGCGACGAGAGAAGAAATCGAAGAAGCAGCAAAAACAGCTAATGCCCATAATTTTATTATGAAACTACCCAATGTTTGTTTTTAGTATTCATTTCTATTGTTATGTATGTATACAGTTATTTCATGTATAGAAATATGAAACATTTGTTGGTGAACGTGGTATTCAATTGAGTGGAGGTGAAAAACAACGTATCGTATTAGCTCGTGCTCTGGTTAAACAACCTACTTTTCTTTTACTTGATGAAGCCACAAGTGCACTTGACAATGCTAACGAGAAAATTGTACAAGATGCACTTGATCGAGCATGCAAAGGTGATATTTGTTTCGTGTTAAGCATTCAATTGGTATATGCTTAATAATATATGTATATATCTAGGTCGTACAACAATTGTGATTGCTCATCGTTTGGCTACAATTCAAAATGCTGATCGCATATATGTATTAGGTAAAGGAGCTGTCATTGAACAAGGTACGCATGAAACATTAATGGCAAAAGAAGGAGGCAAATATCGAGAAATGGTTGAACGTCAACGAATAGAAAGAATCAATGATGACGAAGACCACATATTGACTATGCAAGAACTAACAGAACAGGATGAAACGATACCATGTATGTTAGTGTTCATACGGTAATGATCTTTATTGATCTGTTGTCTTTTCTTAAACAGTTGAACGTTCTCGATTACTCACCGATAGTCAAATTGCTAATGTGAGAAAAATATACGTATACAGTGCTGCACTTGAAAGTCAAAATCTTTTTTTATAATCGGTATTTTAGGAAAGTTCAAAACTACTGAGAAAAAGATTTGCTTTCTTAAGACTCTTGTCAATGAATAGTCCCGAATGGATAAGCATCTTAATTGGTTGTGTAGCATGTATACTTAATGGAGCGGCTCAACCATTGTTTGCGTTATTACTTGTCTTGATAATCGATGTGAGTAACTCGTCCAGATTGAAATCATACAAAAAGATGAATAACATATATCTTTTTTGTATTCATTTGTTTTTTGTGTAGGGATTCCAATATTGTTCAAGCTCTGATCGACGTCGTCATGTAGTGCTCACTAGTCTCCTATTTTTACTATTAGGCGTGATTTTGTTGGTACTTCGTTTCTTTCAGGTAAAACATATAGTGTTAAAATTCAATAGTAGGCCTTTATTTTCTCTTTTCTCTAGTATACAGCTTTTGCGATCTCAGGATCGAAACTAACGCAACGTATTCGTTCGAAAGCTTTTTCATGTCTTCTTCGTCAAGAAGTTGCTTATCTTGATCTGCCTGAGAACAGTTCTGGCGCAATTTGTGCCCGACTTTCTTCTGACGCGTCAGCTATTCAAGAGCTGACTGGTAAGCGATTAGGATTCATCGGTGAAGCTATTGCATTAACAATTTTCGGGATTATATTTGGATATATAATAAACTGGCAACTAACATTAATTGTTCTCGGACCTGTATTTATCTTATTCATACTCTTCTATTTCGATGTGATATTACATTTATGGTCGAACCGGCGATCTATTCAAGATATTGGAAAAGCAAATACAGTAAATTTAGGTTTTACTTAATAATTAAGAAAAATAAATACCTTTTTTTACTTTTTGAGTGATTCGCGTGAGATTCTAATAGTCCTTTTCTATGAAGAACTTACCAAATAATCACGATAAATGCAGAACAGAAACTCACCACTTTCAGACATCTATCAACTTATCAAACATCTGTTAAAGATCTCATAGAAAGGATCTTTCGTCTTTTTGTATTAATAACTGATCATTCTGTGAATATCTTACAAAAAAGTTCAAATGAGATAAAACGTGCATGGATATAGAATGGAACTATTAGGATTTCACGTAAATCGCTTGAACGGTGCAAAAGATAGTTATCGTTCATAGTTTTTATCGGCCTTCTGGAACCTCCTACATAATGATTTTTTATCTTTTATCACTGCAGCTGGCTGTTGAAGTTATTCACAATATGCGGACAATAAAACAGTTATCGATAGAAAGGGAAGTTTTACGAATCTATTCGGAACTGACACATCAAGTTTTAATGTTAGTAACGTAAATATTATACACGCACACATCATTAGTCTTCGTTGTTTTGTGCTAGATTTTCTTGGAAACCTTTGATATTTCATTCATTCTCATATGGTGCATTCTGGATAATAGATACATACACTATGGCATTCTTGTATTGGCGTGCTCTCGTTCTATTTGAAGAACACAAACTTGCCTTGAACTATGTTATAGTGTAAGCGAAACTGCTATTTGATAATCTAGAAATACTATTTTATGATCTTTTTGATTTATTAGAGTATTTGCATTTGCTCTTCTTGCAGTTCAAGCTGGACGACTAATTTGGACAATGTAATATTTACTATTTCTGATTTGCTTTTTTTTTCTATTATCTTCATTCCAGTTCCGACACCATTGCGTTTTCGTTCTCGGGTGCTGAAGCGTTTTTCGATTTATTTGATCGAATACCAGCCATTGACAATACATCTACTGAAGGACGAGAATTAGTAAGACCACATAAAAGATAACTAGTTCATTTCTATTATGTTTATAAGCCATCAGTTTAAAATCGAACGTTTCAATAAGACTTGTATTCCTAGTAGTTTTGATATTTCTCCTTGAGTATAGGTTAATTTGAAATACTTTTTATAAAATAATATCTAACAAGAGTGCCGAAAGATGTCCAGTAGCAATACTCTCCTATTCACCACTGGTGTCCTATGAAAAGAACCTATCTTGTTTCATTGTGCACCTAAATATGCAGAGGATGTTCTCATGAGGACTTGAAGAGTAAAAACATGGGAACAGTATCAAAAGCGACGTTTCCGATGGCCGTTTTTATTTTATTATTTTATGTCTACTTTCTGAAACTTACCTTTCTGCATTTTCAAATTCCGGACACGATATAGATAGCAAGAATACAATGAATAAACAAGAAAAATACCGTGAGGATAGAGAATATACTCGGATATCGATATTCACCTTTTTGTTTTGATAATTATGCTTGGCCTAAAAGAATCTGGTAGAATATATTCATGCAATATAATAAATCATTTCATGAAGTATTTTAATCAAAGAAACAATGGTGAAAACATTTCGAACAAAACTAAAAGCACTGTTATATACGGATCATCTGCTATAATTCGTATAGATTGACTTTCGTGGAGAGATACAGTTCGATCAAGTCAAATTTATGTATCCAACACGACCAACATGCGTTATTCTAAACACATTTCAATTGAATATCAAACCAAGTATGTCAGATAAGTTTTCATTCAACAAACTATTTTTAAAAGTTTTCATTCTCTATTCAGGTCAACGTGTGGCTCTTGTTGGTATGTTTGATATTTCAAGGGAGTTTTTGCAAGATCATCGAGTATACGAGGCATGGAATGAAACATCGTATGTGATTTTTTCATTATTTAGCAGATCAAGGTTAAAATCTCCGAATCTTCAAATTTTAGCTTGTACTATCGTTTATTTGAAAAGTTAATTAGGCCGAACTGCAGGTCTGTATTGGATTCAATAAAAAAAAACTGAAACATATTCTTTAAAAGTTGTCGCAGATTGTTTTTATCTAGATGATTGAAGTATCTTATGAATACGAAGTCGCACCAAAACGAACTTTGTGAATAAGAGATAATATCGAGTAACGCCAGTTTTATTCAGAAGATATGAGTCAAAAACAGCTCTTTTTCAATTGCTAGCGTGCATCTTACAACCACATTTTTCAGAATATATGCTCTGCATGTCTTTTCTGGTCGACAAAATGGTGAAGATATATTCCAAGCAGAAATAATGACGTGACATCGAAATGGAATTTACAGATTTTCCATGTCGATGAAATTCTATAGTTTTTTCGATAGAAAAGGGACTGTATAAGGGACTTCCACTTTAACAACACTGTTTTTAAACAGACTAGACATGGCATTGAGAATCACCAGCAACAACTGCGTCGCACGACAAATATATTTGGAAAAATCATTTTCTCTATAAAATGGTGCCTGACGGTCGGAGAGAGAAAACTTCTTTTAACTCTCATCTTTCCATAAAAAACTATTTCGTTGAATGCAGCATTGGTTAGTGATTTGCAATATCGCATCTATTTTGCTTTACGATTTGTACTTTAACAATGAAGAATGTTAAAGACAAGGTGTTGTGTTTGACGTTTCATTCTACATCTTCTGGTATATCATATGAAATATTTGAATTCTCTATTAAAACACAATACGAGACAACTTTTACAGAGTATTTTTCATTGAATAATAGCAGGTCTAAAACTTAGCTTTGAATAATTTTTCAAAGGAATATTATTAAAAGCTAAAATTGTGAGATTTGCAGTTTTTGGACATCGAAGTGCTGAATGAACCAAGAGCATAAAAAATTAGCTTTTTCACCGGTGCCTCATACACTTGATAGTCTTGCGAATCCTACCCTAAACGTTACTTATTTAATATGATTGGTACAGGTGCTTCCGGAGCTGGAAAATCAACAATTATTCAACTGTTAGAACGATTCTATGATGTTACAAGTGGTCGAATAGTAAGTGTTTCTTTCAGCAGGTTATTTCAGTAATCACTGAGTATTTACGAGCTCAACTTATCTAGCTTATTGATGGTACAGATATTCGAGAGCTAAACATTCGCTGGCTTCGTTCTCATTTTGGACTTGTTAGTCAAGAACCAATATTATTTGATTTAACTATTGCCGAAAACATAGCATATGGCTTAGAAAACGTTCCAATGGAAGACATTATTAATGCAGCAATCAAAGCGAATATTCATCAATTTATTGAACAACTACCTCAGGTTCAATAGTACAAACTAATAACTATAATGGTTCTATTAGTATTTGTATATGGTATTTTTAGGGTTATGAAACAAGAGTAGGAATAAAAGGTAGTTTTCTGTCAGGTGGCGAAAAGCAACGTATTGCAATTGCTCGAGTTCTTCTTCGTCGACCGAATGTATTACTCTTAGACGAAGCAACAAGTGCCATGGATTCACAAAATGAACAAGTGAGTCTTTTTCTATTTCTTTTTTTTGTATTGATCATATAATGAATCACTATCCTGTGTTCAACTATAGATTGTGCAAGAAGCTCTTGATCGAGCTCAAACAGAAGATCCCAATCGGACATCACTCGTCATTGCTCATCGTCTATCTACTGTGCATTCGTGTGATTTGATTTGTATACTTGATAAAGGACGTATAGTAGAAAGTGGTACTCATAATGAATTAATGCAATATCGTGGAGCTTATTATAAAATGCTTGATCAAAACAGTTGATATAGGTTAACAATAAACTATTTTGACATCAAAAATAGATTTTGCTAATCATAAAGAGATAGGTTGCCTAATAAAACTAAAATATGATATAATTATATTGCGCTATCTGGGTGTGTAGAAGTTGCCACAATACTAAGCAAGAGATAGTATTTCGATTTTACTGTAATCTTATCAAGTGGCAAGTATCCGTTGGAATGATTTAACTTGTAGAGAAGTTAAACCAAAAACAAGATACTACAATCGAATTCGTATCTCGATATGATCGAGATGAAAATTCGAAGACCGTGTTTGTTCGTTATTTGTAGTTCATTGCTGTATAAAATAGTGTTTTGTAAGAGAGAGAAATAAAATCTTGATTTCAATACAGTTCGGTTGGATGAGATGGTGACCAGGAATAATGTGTTGGATTGCTTTATTATGGATTTGTCTATGTACAGTAGTTGCTTTTGCTCTGTTGCGCAGTTCTTGTTTACGAATGTTTCGTAAGTAATATTGTAAGCGTTCATTGTTTAGTGTTGTATTGATATTTGTAGTGCTCATTTGTTCTTGTTGAGTGAATATTTGTTTCGAGGAATGTTTTTGTTTCCGACGACTGTGAATATATTGACTTCCCATGTGTTCATAGTTGTGTATATACTTGGTATTGGATCCGAAAAGCAATTGTAGGATTAATGTAGAGCAAGTGTTGGATGAATGTGCGTTAAAAACGAGCTGAATAGAATGAGTTGATCATAATAAAGTGCGGCTATTTATACTCGTTTAGTTATGTTCAAAGAACGGCAAAAATTGGGACGTCGTCCGTCTTGATGTACAACGTCGTCTGTCCTGTTATTCGACCTGGTCCGTCCTGGTGTACAATATTGTCAGTCCCTATATAGAAAAGACGTCCGTCCTGATTTATTACACGGCTCGTCACTGTACAGAAACGACGTCCGTCCTCCTATAGAACATTCTCTGTTCTTCTACCCAGTGCAAAATTTTGAAGATTAAAGCTGATGATAATTGAAAAATACCAGGGGTGTAATCCTTATCGCATACCTGATTATTGCGTGCCTAAATCCAGATTGAAATGTGTTTTAGTGAAAAATCGTAAGTGATGGAAATTCTTCTAATTGATTGCGATCAATTATAAGCGATTATCATCTGATTTCTACTGATTTTTGTCTGGAGCATCAGGGTTTTTGTTTGCGTGTGTGAATAGAAATTGATATTGTATCTCAAAGTGTGACAAGGGTATCAGAGGTTATTGTACTGTTGTACTTACAATTTGTCGACACGAGGACTTGGTAAAAACGATTGAACAGTACAGAATCCAATTGAAAACTGGAGAAAAACTCGTTTTATACCCTTTACGATTAAAATCCATTAGGATTTTTTACAATTGTAACGAACTTTTAAGATTATACGTCTTTTCGAATATAATTGAATGTAAATCCAAATTATCAATTATAATTGATTAAAAATCTTCTGGTCAGATTCAATGAGATAGATATTTTCTTCAATTTTGAAAACTATAATCGGTTTTAGATCGAATCTGATCTTCATTACTATGATCCCTTAGAACTAACTAAAGCCCTTAGAATTAGGCTTTGGATGAGTATGTTTCAATCAACTACAAGAATTAGAATCGATTTTAGATGGATATTTAATTTTCATTAGTAGAATCGAGATAAACACTTAAAAAGTGATCCTTTCATAACCAATTGTGAAATCAAAATCGATCTTATTCGACTTCGATCGATGATCACATTCGAGTCTGAATCATAGATTACCTTTTGTTGAAAATCATTCAAAATGAATGAGTAGGATTTTATGTTTAATCGTTTATTGGAATTCTAATCCATGTAATGGATTGAAATCTGTCAAAAGAGGTTGTTTTCTTAATCGAATCGAGAATTAAAATCGATTTCAATTGGATTACTTGCCAAACATAGAATTACCGTATACATATCCTAAATTTTTTACTCATAATTAAAACAACCTGAATTGTCGCTGAAATATTCTACAATGGGCATACAACGTCATCTGTTCTGGTATCCAATATGGATCGTCCATAGTTTGATAGCAGTATTGTTTTGAGTATATGTATTTCAGCCCGCATATCGTCCCCAGAGATGAAAGAAAAGAGTTTAGAACAATCTTGAAACGGCATTATCTTTTCAGCATTTGTTTCCATTTGTATATTATTGTGTTCGTCAGTGATGGAGACAGTCCTAACTACATTAAACTTTTTTTTTCCATTGGATAAAACTTGTTCGTTTCATCGAGCAGCATGATTCTTCATCGTTTCAGCAAAGGAATGATAGTGGACGGAGTTTCTTTGTTTTTACTCGATAGAGAGAAGACAAAAGATAATCATATTGATTACAGCTGTAATAATTATATACATAGAGTGCAGTCCAAATTAAGGAAATCGAAATAAAAATATACTTTGTCATAATGCTTCTCTAATATCATAGGATCATTAAGCATCATCAAGTAGTTTGAATCATAGGAGTATCTCTATAACCCCTTGAACATACGTCTTGTGTGACTATTCTTGTCAAGCACATCCTACTTATGCATTGCAACCTTAGCAATAATATTTGAATAGGAAAATGATCAACAATTTTATCAAATCATAATACAAAGTCAACCGAATAAGATTGATTTGATTAAACATGAAGAATAAAGAAAAAGGTCATCACAGGCAGGTGAGTTAAAGACTGCGCATAAACTTTGTCGTTTCATGGCCATCGTTAGTCGATAGCATCGTTTCTATGGTTGCTCGTTACACTTTATGAAAACAAATATTCACAATTAATTGAAGATACATGAGATAAAATGAGACTTGCAGAGTAGGTGACTCTTTTTTCAAAGAAAATGAGGAACTAATATGATTTCGTAGTAGAAAGTTCGGTTACTATGTGATCAAGCAGATTACATATGTATTTTTCTGATTCAGACACGATTGATCCCAGGTCAAAGATGTACGGCGAGAAACGGCAGGATCCCGTGAAATTCCAGCCAATTCCTGGAAGCAATACTCCAAAATCGGATCCGGATTCCGGAACCTGCACACTTCTTGTTAATTCCTGCACTTCGGTCCGATGTTCGGATACGGTTGTCATTTTCCGTCCGGTTCCCGCCTAAGTTTCCTGTTTTATATTTCGCTAACCAGATTCGAGTTGTATACCTGCCGTTTCCAGCACGGTACGAACTAGGGTTCCGGTGTTCCGACTCCATCGCAGGATCCCGGTTATACGGCAAAACTTCTGTTTCGTTTACGAAGTCCTCATGTCCCTGTGTCAAAGATCTTTGAAAAACTTTTCGAAGACTGTCTAAGACTTCGAAAGATCATACAACGACCTTTCAAATACTTTGACAGACCTTTCGAAGGCTTTGAAAAATCTTTCAAGACTTTCAAGGATCTTTTAAACATCATTCGAAGACTTTGAAAAATCTTTCAATGACCTTTCCAAGACTTTCAATCATGTTTGAAAGATCTTTCATCGAGTTTCACACATCTTTCAGAGACTTTAAAAGACCTTTGAAACATTTTTCAAAAGCTCTTTCAAAGAACTTTCGAAGACTTTCGACGACCTTTGAAACATCTTTTAATGACTTTCAAACATGTTTCAGAGGTTCAATACTAGCCTAACATCGAGTCAGGTTTAGAAAACAACGCAATCGCTTAAGTTTTAGAAAAGCTTAATTCTGATCTTGATTAAGGAACACCTGCACCGCCATCTTGAGGATCAAAAACAATGCTATCAGGAAACGCTTTGTAAAACTATTTCGGATAATTTTCAAAATCATGTCAGAGTTGACTTTTCTTAGCTCACATGCTTTTTGAAGACGAATAGGTGCGAGATGCTGTAACAAAAGAGGCCAGTTTTGTACCATTTGAAACGTAAACGATCCAAAATGCATTAAAAAAAACCTGTTTCGCGTTTTCTCCGAATTGTGACTCTGTACAATGCTTTTCTTATCCACCGAAATGAGTTTAACAGCGATTCACTTCGAAAACGCTTCGAAACATAATCTCAAAAAGAAGCATTTCGTATCGTTTCGAAACGTCAAGGCAGCAAAACGCGTTTTATAGAAGTAAAAATACTGCGAAACGCATGTCCCAACCTTGAAAACGCATTACGCAGTGCGTTTCTTCAAAATATTTTACGCCATGGGTATTCTAACGTCTATATACGCCTCTTTCTTTGCCAATATTTCAATCGTTTCATCCTATAACAAAAAGATAATCAACGAATTTCAAAACAATGATCACATATCTTTTAAATAAAATTGTTTTCAGAATTATTTTTAGTTGATATTAATGATTGTTCATAAACATCAATGATTAATGCAATAGATGGATATGAGATACTGTTATTACATCAATTTGATCATGTTGAATATTTTGGAGTGTGTCTCTCATTTTTAGCTATCGTTAAGGGAGAACTACGTATTACAGTACTTTAAATTCTATGTGACTATACATTAAAAAATATCTGTATATTTTATCAATGTTGTGGAATATAAATTGACTACTAGTCAAATGTTAATACAATTTTTTATCGAATTTCATTATCTATTTTAACGTGTTTTTAGAATAAAATACATAAGAAGGTATTTCGAACTGTATATCAAAGATTAAATTATAGTTCTCCCGTGCTGTTAGAAAATCAAATTCGGGTCTATCAAATTGTATATATAACCTAACTCAATATTATCAAATGCTTTAATATATATTTTCGCTTATTTTAAGGATTTTCTTCATATTAAGAGATATTTCCAGAGAAAATTTTGTCAAGAAAAGTTATTCAGGGATAGCACTTATTCGTGCCAGAATGTAGATTATAGAGTTCTGTGGGTGTTGGTGAATATAACTTTGGGTGTTTTTGTGGACCATAAGAGATGTCCTGGATGTTAGTGCTGAAGAGGGTCATTTTTTGAACTTTGTTAACAATGTATTTTTTCCCAGGATCCGGACAAAGTAAATGTTTGTGCACATAACTATTGTAGGTGTGGCTGTTACTGAAGGTGACCTATATACAATTTTACAAAGTTGGGTGTTTGTGGTGTTAGCATAAATGACTAATACCCAAGATGAATTGTATACTGATTGTGTTCTTTGAAGTCCACGGCAGAGATGTCCATAGCGGCGCATCAGCGGCAGCAGGTTTTTTCGAGAAGATTGAAAAACTGTATGAATTTGATAGAATTTCAGTGTTTACAAATGAAACATTTTGAGGCTGAATGAATCTAATGGGCTACTACCAATATTTTTGGTCAAATAAAGCCGCAGCAGCGATATTCGAAAATATTTTTGAAAACCATCGCGGCAGCGGCAGGTTTTCAACCGCGATGGACTTCTCTGACCCATAACTACTTTTAGTGAAGCTACTGGAGATTTCGCACGTTATTACATCAATATGAGAAATATCAGAGAGAAACATTATCGGAGGTTTCAAAGCACTTGTATTATCACTATGATATTCGACACGTCTAGTTTCAAGCACTTTATTTTCGAATAGCAAAAGCAAAGCCAAGCCACTTGATTTTCTTTGCCTTCTATGCATAAGAATAGATATACATCTTGATATTGTTTTTTCTCACTCTAGGTAAGGTAATAAATGATAAGAGCGTCGACTTTTCTTGTTCTGCAAAGATTTTACAAGATGCTCGTGAAACAATATATATATATGACAATTCGCTGTCTCAATAAGAGCGGCTGTATGGGATGTCGGATATATGGTGACGGTAGATATATAACTATACAATACTGAATTTTACTTCCTTTGACTTTCGATGATTAATATCATTCAGAAAAATAAATGATATGCTTCGTTCGAGAATCGAACCCACGATATGATTACTGCTTATCCGGACCAGTGCTCTAACCATTGAGCTATCGAAGCACGACTAACATATCATTTTTATTTTCTGAATGATATTAAATCATCGAAAGTCAAAGGAAGTAAAATTCAGTATTGTATAGTTACATATACTCCTTTTCTATTCTTTAACAGTTATATTCATCCTCTGATAAGAGGAGAATAAAAAATCATCATAAATTTCACTTGGTTAGAAGTAGCTTCGCTATATCCAGGTGCGTCGTACACATCGTGTCGACGTTAAAAATTTCGATGATTTAATATCATTCAGAAAATAAAAATGATAAGTTAGTCGTGCTT